GGGGGGGGGGGGGGGGGTGGAACTTGCAGCTCTCCCTCTGCGCCTCTTCCTCTCCTGCCAAAAGACCTGGCACCTGCCTTTCCAGCAGGCTTCATAAGGCTTGGTGTGCTGCAAAATTTGTATGCATCTGTAATATATGTTGTGCTTTCCTGCAGTGCACCATGATAACAGTCAGGAAAAACACAGAATAAGACTAGTAGCTACCAAGAGACTATAGCAAGCCAGAGCCTTTGAGACGCTGCTGGTCCAAGAGAGAGAGCTCAAAACAGGCACAGATCACTTCAGACACAGCATTATATGTTGTTTCTACGTGCCTGCCCCAGAGCACTGCGATTGAAAGGGACCTCGGGGAATGATCACACTCACTGGCCAGCTACAGATGTCAATATCAGAGCAGTCTTTCCCACCTTCTCTCCTCTCTTCTGAGTTTCTGTTTCCTGCATGTCTGCCTTCCGAATATTTTCTGAATCGATTCAGAGGCTTCCAGGTTGATTCAGATCTTTTAATAGGTCTCCCAATTTGATTTGGATTCGGAGATTCGGTTACCAAATCGGGCCAAATCTCTTCTGAATCGAATCGGCTGCTGAAGTTTCACACAGCCCTAATTGTTACACATACGAAAAAAAGAGAGGAGGAATTATCTCATTCCACAGGCTGTGATATGAGGCTGTCCACAACCATATAGATTTACTGTCATTGTTAAATGCTAGGTGGTTTTCTGGTAAGAAGCCCAAAAAACTTAAATAACTTCACATCTAAAGAAGCTGAATGAAATTCTTTCTTTCTTAAAATCGCTAAGCTCAGCAGCATGTAATGTTAACGTCATGGGTGAGATTCATGTCTTTTATTCAGTATCAAATTGTCTCCATGAAATATTCTACAGGGCTCGTTCAATATATTACTTCTGAATTAGCCCATATAGTCAACTGTCTTGCAATATATATTCATCTAATAGCATTCAAAGTATTATGAAATGCATTACAAAAACATTATTTAAAATATCCTAACCAAGGCAACACCTGAGATACTTTAAATTTATGCCTGGGCTATAACAGCACAGGAAAACTACAATTACTTGGCTCTCAAAAATCTTGCTCCTCTTCTTTAGGTTTTGTGATTCATTGTAATGATTTCTGATCCATTGTATGAATGTCTAGTTCCTTTTTTTTTCATTCCTAATTTCTGTTGAAATTGTCTTTACTTCCATTTCTGCACCTACTTTACTTGTTCTCATATTTGTATTAAGCCAAAAATATCACTGTGATCAGATGTTTTTTCAACCATGAAAAATGTCATCTAGACAGAAAGAAATTTGCTTTCTTCAGCTTTTTCTAATGGTTCTTATCTTTACCCTTAAAATGTTTTCATTGTTATATTTTTTAAAAGGCTCTGGGTTGTATTTATAAAAAGGTTTTTAATACGGGGTTTCATTTAAATTATTTAAATATGTACCATAATGTTCTAAGTGTTGATACGATTTTTTTCAGACGTACTGAGTACTGTGCCTTGATTATTGTTCATTGATAGGCATTAAATGTTCATTCTGTGCCATCCCAATCAGTAACCACCTTCAAAATCCTTTCAGTTAGTTATTGCTTTCTCTTATACAGGGATTTTTATCCAACCACCTACTATGTAAATTATAGAATTTTTTCCATTAGACAAATTTAAAATCATGTTAGGCCTATGGATATCTGGAAGGTTTTTGAATATGAAATATTGATAATAGTTCCCAGAAGAGCTTCACATTCATCATTTGTAACTGTTTTGTAGAAGATATGTGCACAAACCTTGAAGTCCACTTGGCAAGCCACAGGGAAATAAAGGACTGACTTGAGAAAGGAATGGGTTATTGACAATACTCTAAAAAATTCTATTTTCTCAGCTTCTCTGTCCATTAACTGGAGCAATAAAGCTGATGCTGCATGGCTCTCTGGACAGTTTACAGAATGGTTGTAGGAAGATCAGTAATGTGAAATGATGTAGCTATTCTGTAGAATAGATAGTTTCCCACTCTGTCTCTTAGGAAAAGCAGTTACAGCTCAAGCTTGTATTCAGAGGATAAAAGCAGACAACAAAAATGTTAATAACAATAATCTGAAGATGGCCACTGAATCACAGGGATCCTGGTTTTCTTTGATTAAAAAAAATCCCCAATTTTCAGATTAAAAAACGGTAACCACAAATCCACATTTTACTGTGATCAAAAAGAAACATATATATATATATCTATACACACACACACACACACACACACACATAATAATATCTATATATTAGTGGTGTTCCATTTTGATTTTTTTAATATCAGAGAAAACCAGGATCCCTGCTTGTCACCCAGCTTCTGGATAGAGGAGAATTTTAATTGTTCCCAGAAACTCAGCAGCCTCTGGCTCAAGGTGAATTAGATAGTTTGAGCACTTCAGGAACTGGAAAGCCATTATGATCAAAATGCATGCAAGGCATACTAACTTGTTGGTAATGATTCAGAGAAAAGCAAGTGTATTCTTAATACAAGGAATCAGCAGCAGCCCCAGGTGGAGAAATGCTATTTAGAAAGCACCAAGTGCCACTAAGTGGCATAACATATAATTGGATTTAATGGAATCATTTGACCCCAGCAGACTTCCTGCCTATGGCAGGGGGCCTGGACTCAATGATCTTGTAAGGTCCCATCCAGCCCCTGATGTCTATGAATCTAAAAACATACCATACTTACGCAAACCGGGACAACTCTGAATTTAAGATGACCCCCCAGTAATCAGATTCCCTGCATAGAAAAAATATTAATTTGTTACAATTTCCCATGTATAGAATCTAATTATTGGAGGGTTGTCTTGAACTTGTCATCCCCCCATTACTGCAGCAGGGAAAGCATTGAAAGCATTGGCAGGAGGGCAGGTGGGGGAAGGGGGGTGGTCAATCAGTCACAGCCCTGCCCTTTTCACCCCTACCACTTACCTCACCCCCGCTGTCTGCCCCCTTCCTGCTACTGTCTGTGCTCCAGCACCTGTGCCATTCCCAGTGCCTGCCCCTCTGCTGTATGCCTCCCTAGTTTCTGGCCCCCTGTCTGCCCTCCCACCTGCCTTCACCTCCCCGACCCCAGCACTTACTGTCCAACTCCAGCATGACTCCAGTAGCTCCAGTCCAAGGTCCACTGCCACTGCCATAACAACTGTTAGCAGGCTGGAGCAACCACATGCTCCATATCCTGAGACCCTGCTGGAGTCAGGGTAAGTAGTAGGCCACTTTGCTGCCTGCATCCATCCTGCCTGTACTTAAATCCAAGACAAAGGGCTTTTTCCCTCATGTTAAATGGAGGAGGGGGAAACCTTGACTTGGATTTGAGTAAATACAGTACTCTTCTTTTTCTGTGCTGTTCAAAATAATTAAATTAGTTAATAACATATAATCATTTTCATTGCTGCTGTACTAAGGGCTACATCTGGGGAGGAACCTGGGCACAACAGCTCTGAGTGCTGTGATGTTTAACTTCCAGGTGTGCCTCCCCACCCCACCCAGGGTGAAATCCAGAACTCTGTGTTAGGTGCCCAGGCTCCTTGTACAATTCATGAGGAGAAAAGTGCTTACCGTTCTGAGGTAGTGGAAAACTTAATTGGTTTTTGTTTGCAGTGCTTTGAAATGCTCCAGTTGGAGGCATTAGAGAAAAGCAAAGAAATCCTTGAGTGAATTAGAACTATTAAAGATTGAATTATAAACTTTGGAGAGGAGGAGTTTTAACTGGCTTGTACACAACCAATCTCTGATTGAACCTTTTGTGGGGGGGTGTTAACCACAATATAAATATTAGTTACTATTAAAGCAGACAAATTAAAATGTAGCAACTACAGGTAGTCTTTGTCTTCTATGGGTGGAATAGGAGGCTTGAAGATCTAGGCGGGTATTTCAAAACTCCTCTGCACTGGCCCACTAACAAGATTCCCATCAACCTCAGTGTGAGAAAAGTTATTTGAATGATGACCACTTTTTCATGTCAGTTTTTGTCATGTATGCTGCTGTAGTCATTATGTGTTTTCTGTAACTTAGTCCAATGCTAAATGAAGCTACAGTTCCAAACCACAAAACTAATGCAGTCGGATATGCCAAGATGAGCATGGGTTAATATTTTTCACATTAGTCATATTCTCAACAGAGAGTTTTTGTAATGTATTGTGAAGTTTTAAAAGGCAAGTCACATTTCCCAAATTGCTGATAATAGCTCCTATTCAGTCAAATGTTATATGCTGTAGAGACAAGGCTGTGTTTTTTTTATAGTCTATTTTATTCAAAGTGTAAAAATGCTTAAAACTATTCAAATTATGTTCTCTAGGACTATGCAAGATTGCTAACTACACATTCAAACAACTTACAGTCTAATTGGAAGAAGATAATTTTTGTATAGCATGTTCTTTACACTTTAATACCAGAGAGACATGAGCCCTAAGAATCAAGAAACTAACAACCATTAATGATCACAATTCAGTTTATAATGATTCTGTTTGGTTTTACCTAGGGAAAGCAAGGACATGCGTGCCAACCAAGCCAAAATTTCTATGGAAAACAGCAAAGCCATAAGTCAAGATAAATCTATCAAAAATAAAGCTGAAAGAGAGAGGTAAGTGTCAGTTCAGTCTCTGTGAGACGATATGTCTTTGACTGCTGGGTGCCCACACTGTTTAAGGTATGTTCTGTGTGGAAAATGGCTTATGTTTCTGCCCAGTTGTTATACTGAATGTATTAGATGGTTGTTCTAGATAAGTGTTATTTCTTTTTTATTTTAATTCATGTCATGATCTTGGAAAGTGACAGGGGCTGAAATTTAGACTTGTGAGTAGTGCCGCTGATTGCAATGCGGCTACTCACATGGATTGAGATAGACATTTGTTGAAGTGTTTCTAGTCATAAGGCCTTAGTTTTACACGCTGGCCCATTTTCTCCTTAAAATGTTGTGCAGTATATCTTACTTCAGATCTTTTTCCATAGTATTAGAAGTGTACTGAAAAAAGCAGTGCTGAGATTTGGATGTGGATTGGCATTAATCTCGAGATCAGAAGAGCAGGAGAGGAAAGGGAAGTTGATCCACTAGAAGGACATACTGGTTGCATCTACACATGCACTTTACTGTGGAGTAGCCTAATTAACTGTGGAGTAAAACGTCACCATCTACACATCCGACAGCATTTGGCCGCAGTAGACTAATTTACACTGTAGTAAGATAGTACTGCTGGGGACAGTACTATCTTATGCCAGGGTAATTTACTGTGATTTAAATTCACATGTAGATCCTGACTGCGGACATAAATTGTACCTGGTCACTCCAGTCAGCTGTGGGTCAGGCTCCTGCCACACAGCTCCACACTTTCAGCACCCTCATGCCCCAGCCAGCCCCTCTGCGGCCTGATGCCACCACCTGGAGCCAAGGGCTGACCCCTTTTGTCCCCTGCCAGCCCGGGCTTGCTGTGCCCTGGCTCAAATTGCTGCTGTCCTGGGCACATGTGTAGACGTTGTGCCCAGGGGTAGTTTACTTAGGCTCAAACTGCTCCAGAGTTTATTGATTCACATTAATTGCATGTGTGGAGACACCCACTGTTGCTTTTCCCTCCTGTCCACTAATGACGTGGATGTGAAGTGGACCACAGGATAATAGGAGTGAGGTTAGTAACAGAGAGGCCTGTGTGGGGAAGAAAGGTGACAAGGGAGGTTTCAAGGGAAAGGTGGCAAGGGGCTTTGGACTTGCCATCTAGTTGAACATTTTCTCCTTATATTCCCTCCTATATTGGTCTATTTTGGCTTGATGGCTTGAACTTGTTCCCACTGAGTGAACTCAGTTGGAGCTTTACAGATTTCCTGCATAGAGTGGAGACAGCAGTTGCCAGAGCCCTGGGTGATGATCCTGGCCCAAGTTTATATAACCCGTATAGTAATGATATTCAGAATACTTATTATGTGCCTAGGCTTAAAACCAGGATGGAAGACACTACTATCTTTTAAACTTTTGCAGTTGGTCCAATTCCATCCTTGGAATTACAGCACCTTAGGATTCTTGCTATAAAAGGCCTTTCACAAATACATATTATATGTAAATATTACTAACATAGTTTTCATGTGACAACTACAAGGACACTTTATAGCATTGTTTAAAATATCTTTCTATTTTTGATAACAAGAATAATTTTTAATCATTTCAGAATGTGCTTTTAGGAGATGGTAAATACAAAAGATTATAGAACAACACTTTTAAGAAGCAGTGTACAATGGGAAATTACACTGATTAATAAAACAAATTCCAAAATTAAATGGGTCAGTCTACAGTCAGGATCAGAGAAAAGTGAGCTCACAACAATCTTGGTCTCTTGTTTCCAACCTCCATAGTCATAGCATCCAAAATATCCAGAAATATCAACGTAGTATGTAAAAACCTGGAGTCAGAGTAGTGCTCTTCAGTTGCTACCTGCAGTTCAAGGCAGGTCATAAATGTAGTAGAATAAGCCTTCAAGTGACTGAGCTCCTTATTCTTGACTTGGATTTATTATGTATGGTTTTTAATAAGTCTTCATGGACAAAATATTTTTTTTTTAGGCGAGTAAGGGAATTGAACAGCAGCAACACAAAAAAGTTCCTGGAGGAAAGGAAGCGGGTAAGTATATTTTTGATCAGGAACCAGAACCTGGTGGATATGTGATACTAGGATAGAAACCTTGCTGTTTGCATAACTTACCCTCAGCCTTTGCAAAGAGATTTTAGTTCATTTTCCCCTTAGTTACTTTCTTGCAGTGTCATTCTTGATTGCTACAGGCTTGGAGAGCTAGAGACTCAAGTCATTTTCAAACTGGATTCCAAGGTCTCTCCACATCCTAAGCTGACACAGGGTTTATGTCTGAACTCCTAACTGTAGTTATTGAGTGCTTCATACCAACATTTGCTCACCCTTTTATTTACCTGAGTTGAGAAGTGCCTCTGTAAGAAGGGTTGTGTATCATTACTTTATTGTAGTGCATACATTTAAACAGAACTTAATTTTTTTTTAAAACATGTGCAAAGTATGTTACACCTATACAGCAGATTTTTACATTAAAGCAGTGTGCTGTTGTGTATATTTTAGACTTATTAAATTGTAAACAGCCAGGATCATGGGCTGTGCCTCAATCCAAAGTTTTGTGGAAGTCTCAGGCCACCATCTAATACGTAATAGTTTTGAAAACTATGCGTCTGTTTTGTTTTAAAAAATCATGTTACATTTCACCTGTATTATCTTATCTTCCATATAGCTGGCAATGAAGCAGTCAAAAGAAATGGATCAACTGAAAAAGGTTCAGCTTGAGCATCTAGAAATTCTGGAAAAGCAGAACGAGCAGGTATTTTATTTAAAGGGCTTGAAAGAAACATGATCTAAAACAGTAAAAACAATCACCAAGTTCCACTCTAGTTCTTTTGAATGGAAGTTATTATTGAAATTAGATAAATAACCCTTTTTTGGAGGCAGCCATCTGTTTTGAAGTTGAAATATAAGGTTGGAAGGACTTCAATTAGCATGGAATTCAGGTATGGCTCATCTAATCATCCAACGATTGTCTGGAAGGACATCTCCCAGAATTCCTGCACATCCCTTTTGAGTTCCCGTAGAAAATATCTCAGAAAAAGTCTGTTTCAGTGCTTTGGCACTTCTGTTTCCTTTCCTGATTGCAAAAACACTCAGACTGTCAGAAAATATTTGGATTCCATTTTAGTATGTAGGGTTTTATGCCAGATTGCTATCCATCCCTTAAGTGAAATTATAGAATCATAGAAAAGCAGGGCTGGAAAGGACTTCTGAAGGTCATCTAGTCCAACCCCCTACCCAAGGCAGGATTCTCCGTATTCAAACACTCCCAAATCCTTGTCTAACCTATTACTAAAATTACACAATACTCCATTACCTTCCACTGGTGGAAAACAAACAACTTTTAAAAAACCTAGCCACCTACTCATCTGGGAAAGGAAAAATCAGATCTCATCCTTAATGGTTTCCGTGGTGAAAGAAGGAACCAGCACATCCATAATTATCACCCAAACTGATGTATAGTATGAATGCCAGCAGTGAAGATACTCAAGGCTGTACTGCAGAAGCACAAACTGAGCAAGGTGAGAGAGAAGACAGGTTGCATTTAACTGCTGTCACCTTCAAGAGTTAGGAATTTATTTTCTGAGATTTCAGTTCAGTTTCAGAAATCACATACTTCATGGTGCAGCAACCCAAGAGTGGTGTCATTCACATGTTTCTATTGCCAGCAGAGAGTCCTGTGTCCCCTGAGCTCCTCCCTGTCCTCTTTCAAGCTTTTCCAATGGAGGATGGCAGCCTAAAATTTTAACTGTGGCTTGATAGGATCTCCAGCAGCTGGTATGCTTCATTTGCATGCCACTGAGCACACCTCAACATACCAACCCCATGTCAACCAGCTTCACCTACTTTTTGGCCAACAGGAGGAATCTCTAGCAGTCTTCCAATATTGTATCCTTCGGTCTTTAAATTCCTCCACAAGAGTTTCTGCCCTACATGTCTCTTGTCCTTACCAGCACAAATTAACATCCAACTCTTGCCATGTCCAGCATACCCACACAATGGCAAGGCAGAGAATGCATACATTGAGAAAAATAGATAATCAAGCTGCAGTAGCTCTTCTGCAGTCTGACCATAATCCAATGTTACATAAATTGTACTAGTTGGCAAATAGTGTATAGTGATCTAAAGATACTGTGGGGCTGATCCAGAGTCCACTGTGATCAGTGGGAGTTTATTAACTTCAGGGCTAGGGACAGAAGTTACACATAAACCAGTTTAAGTGATCAGAAACTGGTTTAAACATGAAACAGAACATAAGTTCAGTGCACATAAGCCAGTTTCAAAATGGCCAAAACTAATTTAAGATAAATCTGATTGAATGTAGTATCAGACTTAACTGATTTGGGTCAAACCAGTTTATAGAATTTCTGTCCCAGACCCCTTTCTGGTTTAAGTTAAATCAGAGTTTCCCATCATCCCAGCATGCTTTTCCGCCCTGAGCTGGGCTGGGCCGGGCTGAGCTGTCTGCTGCAGAGATCAGGGCTGGCCCCACCCCTCTGCTCCCTAGCCAGAGCTCTGGCTGGCTGAGAAGGAGGTGTAGACTGCAGCTGGGAGACAGCAGCATCTGCCTGGCTTCCCTCTTGGCCCTCCCCCCTTTGCCACTTGTCTGCTTGAGCAGGGATCCCCCCTCTCCCACAGCACAGACCCCAACAACACAGACTCCAGCCAGCATCTGATCAGGGTCACACCACTCCCATGCTAGCTAATGCTGAGAGATCCCTATGTGAGTGTGTCTGCTTAGGGCTTTTTGGGAGTTAATCAACAGGTCAGCTGGTAATGTCTAGTGTTCTTCCTTAAAAATGCTTTGCAACAAGCTGTTTAAGAAGATTGAACTAATGAGAGAGAGCCGTTGTTCTCTTGATGAGCTGATAAGTTTTGTGTTCTGATAAGCTACTGGCTGCTGGCTTGCTGTCAGTGTTCAATGGGACAGAGAGAGGTGTGGGAAATGACCTGGTTTGCAATGAATGCAGTGCCTGTCAGCTTGCTGCACACAGTATGAAGAAGCAGGGAGAGGGAGATTGAAATACTCAGTATCATCAAAAGATGCATGCAGTTCACACAAGCTGCCCTCCCTCCTCACCTGCCCTTTGTCTCGGAGTGCTAGCTGTGGGTTGACAACACTCCCTGCCCCTTAAGCAGCAAGTGGGGAGGGGGAAAAGCCTGGCAAGGACTGCTTCCCCCTCCCACGCCAGGCACACCCCGGCTGAGGACTGTGCAGGTCAGGGTGGAGGTTTAAACCCCTCCCTAATCATAACGTCCTGCCAGGGCCTGGCTACAACCCCCTCTTTGCTTAGCATTGTGGAAGGGAAGGGAGGGCTTGCTCTAGCGCCCCCTGGCTTCTAGCCTGAGTTACTGCAGGCATGCGCCTGCATTTTCTGAATCGAAAGTGATGTCTACTTGCAAATTGGTTCAATCTCTGCAGGTTAGACTAACCTACAAAGATTGAATCAATTCAGGCTCAGGCTTTTTGAATGCCTGTCTCTAGCCCAAGAGGCTTTGCCTCTGGCCAAAAACACCATTCCAAGACAGCACAGTTAGGGCTGAGCTTTTAACCTAAATTCTACCATTCCTTACTTTTGAGTACTTGATTTTTCAACTCTACAGTTGCATTGTTGTTAGTTGTTTTGCTTGGAATTGATCAAAGTGAGTGCTGCTTTGTTTCTTATAAACAGCTCTGAAACGCATACTAATGCCACACATTTCCCTCTAGCATAACTCTGACTCCAGTGGATTCATTCATGATGTACACTAATATGAGCAAGAGCAGAATCAGACCCAGAGCACTAAAACTTGGTTAAAAATCATAGGTGTTCTGGTCAACTGAATTGACAACAAAGTAGTAGTTTGTGTAACAAACTTTTTGATCTCTTAAATATCCCTTTCTTATCAAACAGGTCGAGATACCTCAAAACAGCAGTTATGAGTAGAAACATACTTCAACATAAATTGTTATGAACTAAAATTGATTTGTTTTATGTATACTTTTCTTGCATTAATTTTTCAATCTCACTTCAGTTTTCATTCATTTTATTTATGTCCTGTTGTATTACCCTATTTTGACATTATTATTTTTGTACAAACAGCTTTTGAAATCCTGTCATGCAGTGTCTCAAACACAAGGTAGGATTGATCTATAATAAGCAAGCTATTATTTCAGTGTGCTTTCCTTCTAAATTAAATCACTATCATTGGAGACTTCCTTGTAAATGCAACTCCTGGGAAGTACCACTAACACAGTGAATGTGATGTTAATAATATTTACATACAATCAGTATTTGAGTTTGACATTAAAGTAACAGAATTTTATGCTTTCACATCTCAGACATCACGGAGCAAGTTGGATAGGAAACCTTAAAAGACTCATTTCTATTTTATATTATTGGTAATTATGCTTGAAATTCTCATGGTCTGTAAGACGCATCTACTGATTAAGGGAAGTATTTTAGTGTTGACTCACATCTGACTAACTGCTAGTGCTGATAAAGCCAGATTTTCTACATATATTAATGTAACAATAATAGAACTGATGCCAAACTAAAAATAGCTAGAAATAGAATAGACAGCTAGAAATAGCTTTTTAGGGACTGAGAAAAGAGGCTTCCAGCTCTTTAAAATTCAGTTTAGAGGCACATTAGAAAGAATATGTTAAGTGTACTATTTATTTAGCTCTTCTTTTACAGCTTCCTTATAATCATCATTTGTGTGAAATCCATATTAATCCCAGGTCTTAACCAGTATTTTCCTTAAGTTTAAACAACCAGTAGTGCAGTATTGCCCAGCATAAATAAACTGCTTAAATCCACAGTCGATAATTTACTGTTACCTCCTAATCTCACCACATTTACTATATCTATATTTATTTAGAAATAGATATGTAAAACAAGGCCTTCATTTTTTTTGAATGTCTAGAAAATAACTGTATTTTTTCTCTAGGTGCACGTATATAGTTTTTATTCTTCCCCAGATCTAACCAAAGACGAGGGCACTTGGCACCTTGCATTATGAGTCCATGACTTAATGAATTCAAACAGAGGCTCATCTCTAAATATTCTGTTTGTGTGTTCACTTGAGGATGCATTGGCTGAATCTGACCTTAGATTGATAAAACCAGGCACTTTGACCACGTGGCAAAGTGTCATGAGCTGCATCTACATGAGGCACTGACTCCACAGTCGTTACAAGTTAAAATGCCATTCTAGGAACTCAGAGAGACAGGGTCAGATTTCCTCTGGGTGAGGGAACCTACAACTCAGGTCCTCAGCTTCCTAGTTTAATAACCTAGCCACTCAGCTAATAGGGGCAATATATGGAAAGGCTTTCTCTCTCCCCCCATTCCCTGTTAGTCACTGGATGACCAATAAGGGGAAAGAATGCCACCCAAGACTTCTAAACCAATGCTTTCTCTCCAGGAAGGGCCCACAATAGTGTTCATCCCCTGCTATCCAGTATTCCAATAGCTAATCTTCTTTACTAAATGTAGGAGACCCAGATGCAGATTCCTACTCTGTCTGTGGGTACTAGATTCCACACTTCCCTACCCAAATCTCAGACTACAGGATATTAAGGAGTGGGATTGTTTTACTCTCTTCCATTGCAGCTTTACATGAAATAATCAAGTTGTTATAAGTACAAAGAGTGTGTATGAACCTAACTCTATAGTTTAGTCGCAAGCAATCTCAGCTAAGGAAAGCGGAGACACGGACTGCTCTACTATGAATGTAAAACACTTAAATATTCATTAAATTTCAGGGATAGTGCCCAGGCATCCCCTTAGATGAGTGCTCAAACCATTAGACAATATAGCCATTCTCTTTGGCTCAATGAATGTGAAACAGTGTTAGTGGAAGACATTAGGGCTAAAAACAGACAACTTGATTCAGATTTGAGCATTTTGCCTCAGCAAATTTCAGACAGTATGGAGGGCAAATCCATTGTTGTACATTAAATACCTGTGAAGTATCCAAATTCACATTTTGCCTTGGAACCATTAAGGCTAAGTCAAGTTAATTGTCATTTAAGCCGTGTGTGTAAATGACTGTCCTTGTGCCTGCTTTTATGCAAATCAAATCTCAGATTAATCAGCCCTGGATTAAACCAAACTTCTGTTTTCAGCCTAAGAGAAGCCTGTCACAGAATAACCTTTTACCCTGGTGTTTAAAGCACTCCCCAAGGAGACTGAAGACAAGTCTTCAAGTTCCCCTAGAGTTTAAAACAGACATTGCATTCTCCTGGGAGAAAGTTTTTGGTTCTGGGATCCTTACATCATACAAGTCCTTTGTCCCACTTCAAGTAACCATGAAGCATGCTTCCTTCAGTCCACCACAGTGCTGTCCCAACTCATTCAAGTTACTTGCTAGTGGCTGTGTCTACATGAGACACTTTACTGCACAGTAGACTAATCTATTGTACAGTAGTGTCACCATCGACATGTTGCAAGCACTTACTGCACAGTAAATGTACTACTTAGTAAAGCCAACTAGCATTGATTGCATGTGTAGACATGCCCAGTCATGCTAGGGCCAAGCCTGTCAGAGGGGGCAGCAATATAGCTTAGAAGGACTGCATGTGTAAGTGTCTGCTGCTTGTGTTTTGATCTGGGTTAAAACCTGGGCCACTCAGGACCATCTCAAATGAGACATCTGCAGCCTTAGGTACAGAAGGAATTTGAATGTGGATTTCCTGCATCCAAATGTGTGTTCTTATAGCAGCATTTCTGCAGGAAACAGGATATGTATTTTGTGAGAGACAATCTGGGAGGTGTACTCTGAGCACATACTAGAAGGAATAGCTCTTTTGTGACTCCTTATGGAGCGCTTAACTTTTCAGCTCTGTCAAGACTCTTATGCTTCCTACCCTAGGAAACTTTATTGGTGAAAACTTAGGCACCAAGGAGTATTAGCCACCTCCATGGCTAGGCAGCATCTGAGGAAGTGTGTTGAGGATTTTTTTCAGCTTGGGTGCCTAAATGATTATTTGGCAGCAATTAGGTTAGGTTCCTTTTTCAGGATGTAGCTTTTAACCTCCTAATTCCTCATGTGTACAATAGGGATAATAGTACTTACCTATTTCTCAGGGGTGTTGGGAGGATAAATGCATTGTAAGGTGTTCAGGGGTGTAGGTTGTAGCTGTGTTGGTCTAAGGACATAGGCAGACAAGGTTCTTTGGGTGAATCTGATATCTTTTATTAGACCAACTTAAATAGTTGGAAAACAAGCTTGCTTAATAATTGTTTTCCAACTATTTAAGTTGGTCTAATAAAAGATATCAGATTCACCCAAAGAACCTTGTCGGTCCTTGTAAGGTGTTCAGATACTTCGCTCACTTAGAAACAACTAGGAACTATGACAAAGATTTCTCATTTTATTCGGAATTTCATTTTCAGTTGCCAAATTCATACCCACACTAAATACAAGTGGCATTTCAGGAGAGGCTGTTCACACTGATTCATTTGTTAATATTATGTTTCCATATTTTCATCTCAATATGATTTCTTCATTGATTTCAAACATTTAACTCATTTAAATGGAACAAGGGTTCTATTTTTCATTATATGTGTTTCACTTGCCCTTGGTGTTATCACAATTACTTGAGTTCACAAAATGTAACAGTGAATATTACTTTTCTCTTAGACAGGCTAAATTCTCTAAGAGAGGTACATCTGTGTCACCTGTGCAAATACACATTTACCTTTTGAAAAGGAAATGCATCTCACTTCTTTCCTGTTTCAGATCTACATTTTTATGTTATTTTAGACCCATATACGTTTGCATATACAGAATAGGCAACTCCCTGAGTAGAAGTTTATTTATCAATTTAAAGACATTTACCATCTCAAAACAATAGGTCCCTTTACAGCGTTTTGTATTCAAGTATAGCAAATCCAGTGACCTCTCCTCCCTGCACAGATGAGATCAACCTCAGTTACCCTAGGCATAATGACTGAAAATGCCTCTGCCTCCATGCCCTGCACATAGGAGCCAGGCTGTCAACCTGGAGTGGTTAGCATGTCCTCACTATCAGCACATTCAGACCACTTTAGATTGGATTGATGAATGAGTTCCAAATGGAAGGGCCGTCCTGGAAAATGCATTAGGAAAGGTGCTTCCTCAAGGTCCTTTGAACTAACCTCTTCACCCCACCTCAGCACTGCTACCTGTGGAGAGGGAGCAAACTGTTAAGTAGGCAAGGTCCAAGGTGCTTGATAGGTTAAAAATAACAACTTAAAGTGAATCTGCAAACCCAGAGGCAACCAAAAGAGACCAGCGTTCATAGTTAGGTACCTCACATAATAAGTGGGCACCTGCATTGTACACCAACATCAGTTTGCAGATGAATTCAAGGGATAGGCGCATGTAAATTCACATTGTAGTAGTCTGATCCTGAGGTATCAGCCAAGAGAAATGGGTAATATCTGCAAGCTGGAAGAAGATTTAAAAAAAAAAAGGTCGGCTGGGCCACCTTAAGGAAGGTGTCAGCAAGCTCTGCCAGCAGTGAATCCAGTAATGTGTTTGACCAGTCATTGTCTTTCAATGGCCAGAAGAAAACTGGTCCAGATCACAGGTAGAGCTACACTGAGTTCACTGAACACTTTTGGAAGCTTAGTAAGTGACCCCTGCCAAAACCTGGCCAGCAATGACAGCATATATATCTACTTTCTGAAATGCGGAGCAAGTTCACAGGCAATGCAATCAGAATCTGTATGGTTTTCTTCATAAAATATGGGGCTTCTTTGAAAAGTGACCCAGGAATCCTAAAAGAAGATAAGAATTATGTCCTTGGTGTTAAGTAATTTACTTATTGTTAAGCATAAACAGGAAAATAACAATTGTTTGATAAATACATAGACGTTTTTCTGAGAATGAGGAGAACAATTACCTGTATCTCCACTGCTCCCTAGGTATGTTCCATTGAGATATTCTGTCCTCCTCAAGACTTGCTTGATTTTAAGTACAAGCTGTACTTCATGATGGAACAAAATGTGATTTATTTTGCATTGCAGGCAAAGGAGATGCAGCAGATGGTGAAGCTGGAAGCAGAGATGGACCGCAGGCCAGCAACAGTAGTCTGAAACTCCAGCATGCAAACTGAATTTAAAAAATTGAGCAACCTTAAAATACCAGAGCAAAAATAATGCTCCGTTGTGGAAGATAGAAAGGATTTTTTTCCCTTTTTCCCTTCTTTTAAAACAATGTGTAGCCATAGACAGCCAGTCTTAAGGTTTTGAATTTCCTTTTTATCATAATGGATTTCCGTTGTTAAATTTTCCTTTCTGGTTTCCTTTGATAAGGAAAATACTATCCAAAAAAAGGCACAGAGCATTTTAAAGCCCAGGTCTTCGCACTTATTTCTGAGGAAAAGCTCCCATTCATTTCAGTGGGATTTTGCCCGCATTGGAATGACAAGATCAGGGCCTTAAAACCAGCATCCATTTTGTTGTTGTTGTTATTTTAACATCATGTTAGAAGATACCAGAACTGTAGTCAATGCAACATGGTATTTACCATTTTTATTCTCGTGACTGGTATTTTGTCATTTAAGATCCAATCCTACCAGGTACTGACAGCTAGATACTCAGCATCTCCTCAGCAGTGCTCAGAACTTTCTAGTACCGGTCCCTAGATTTATTGCTAGATAATGACCATCACCGTAATAAATATTTCCTAATCAGGTTGATAAGGAGATGAGTTTTATCATAGGGATATAGTCTCTTGTGGTGATTTTTTTTACTACAAAGACATTTTTGAGGCAGCAGACTGTAAGTAGTTGAAAATAAACTGCATATATTGGAAAATATGCTCTCCACAAATTCATCAGCAGAATTAATTCGCTGTTAGTATAACAGTAACTGTACAGGATATTTCCTCCTTCAAATTAAGTCATTAGCAAGTGCCATATCAATTCTATCGTGTTTGTAAGAAGCCAATATCCTGTAAAAGTTGCTGAAATAGTTAACATGATGCGAATAAATTGTTCTTGTGCCAAAACTAATCAGTGCTCCAGGGCTGAAGGAACTGTATATTAGACACTTTAGGAAAAGTTTACATCATATATGGTTGATGCAGAAATTTCATTTTGATCCTATTGCTGCAGGTCCCAGCTATTACAGTTTATTGTAACTTAAAGATTGTTTAAATGGCTATTGGCAAAAAGTTTGTAACTGTGAAAATGTAAAGAATATTTATACACTTTGAATCACAATATTGTAGAAAATCACATCAATGTTGCCATGTGGTAAGATTAGTAAACAGAATTACTAAAAGTATGTTTGCATGTAATACAAACACCAACTAAGACTTTAACACCTACTGTATGACCACAGTCATTCTACTAGCCAGTACATACTGATTAATTGTATGGCACAGAATATTATTTGATCAATTACCAGACTTTTAGCATAATGAAACTTATATATATATATATGTGTATATGAATTATGTGGGCATTCTTGATACTTCAAGTTCTAGTAAAATAAAAATACATAACTAATTTAATTTTACACAGAAATATTTATGCAGATTTTCAGAATTTCATATCAGGAATAACCTTTTTATGTCTGTTAGATATAAAACCAATTTGCTACAGTGTTAATTTGCATGTTCTCAAAGCTTGCTGTAGTTATATTGCAGAACAGTGCATGTAAGCATTCTGCTTGGGATTTGTCCATGCTGCCGATAAAAAGAAGACTGCATGGAAAACTGGTAGTTTAGATCAAATCAGATTACTGATTTCAATATACTAAGCACCAATTGAGTTGTTGTATATGCTTGTACAAACTGATTCTACATATTCTATAAACAACTTAAATGAAAAGAGATAATTATGTTATTGTCAGTCCTGAGATGAAACTTTCAGCTTCTCTAATAAAAACTTTAAAAGTAAAGCCATGACCTGTAAGTGTAATCCATTATAAAAGATATTTGCAGGATATTCTTACTGCATGCTTAAACGCACATTTTTAAGTATCCAAATTACATTTCTGTAAAGGTACCTATAGACTAAAACACATTAATATCACTCCTTACTCATTCAAAGGATTCTTATTTCATTTGTTTGGAGGAAGAGAGAGAGAAATTGTGTGCTCTTAATGCCAGCTGCTTTTTATATCCATGTACTCAGAGACTCCAGCTGAGCGTTAGAGACCAGATCCAGTAAGGGACCTAGGTAGAATGAGATCCAGATTTCCAAACCAAAAATCTCCTGCTCAGCTGCAGACTGACCCTGGAACATTCTAAATTTTCCTTTTTAACCTGGAAATACAGCTTAAGACCCTGAAGAACTATTAATACAAAAAGTGGACGCATGCTTCTTTTCTCTACAGCTTTGTGACTTTTTTGGCATAAGGGTAAGATGACAGCATGTTACGAAAACAGATGCATTAATGGATTTTCATGGACTCTAGTAGCATTTGGCCTATAGTGCCTAAGTTCTTTTATGGATTTAGTCCTTGTGCCCTAGCAACTTTACGCATATCCAGAGTTAAGCAGCATCTGAGCAAGGCTTTTGAGGATCTAAATACTGGACAGCTAGACCTAAAGTGACAGCTAGACCCTAAGGGCACCTATACACGAGCAGGGAGTCTGCTGTAATGCGCTGTAATTCCAGCACGTCAGCAGATTTGATTAATTGAGTCTGCTGGAGCATGGGAATTACTGCAGTCCAGCAGTCTCCTGCATCTCATGTATCAGTATCCCTGTGCTTCATAATGGTGCTGGGGGCACTTTCTCTGAAGCTCATAGAATGGATTGATGAATGAGCTTCAGAGAAAGTGCCCCTGCTACCATTTTGAAGCGCAGGGACATTGATACACAAGGTGCTCTAATTAAAGTGCCCCACCTCCACTCTGAGAGCACGTGTATAAACGCCCTAAGACCAGATCCTGTTCTGCCTATTAGGCACCTTAAGTGGACTTATGCACCTGAGTATGACACTATTGTACCCTGCTTGAGTCCCTGAAAAACTATTAATGCAAAAGATAGATTCATCTTCCTCCTCTTTGGTGCATTTTTGTCCTTAGCCTTATTTTTAACAGCACATTATAAAAGTAGATGAGCTAATGGTTTGTCAGGGACTTGAGAAGAGTGGAATTAGATCACACTTAAGTTCTGAAATCCATTCAGATGCCTAAAAGGTGAAATAGGATCCTAATATTTTGAGTGGGTCTTGTTAACATTTTCACCATTTCAGTGGTCTGAGATTTTGGTTTTAACTAGTTTTCATATATTGCCATTTAAATGACCTACAGTTTGCAAAGATAAATTATCTGAATGTCACTTAAATAATCTGATCTTTGGCAAAGGTCTGAGTTTCAGCATTTATTTGGTCTGACATCTGATACAAAAGTGTTCTGATCTTTGGCACATGAGTGGTCTGGGAAATAGGAGAAGGATTCCATTGCAATATAAGTCAGCCACTGAGATAGAACTAGGTTGCAATTTCTAAATTATTTGAATGAATTTTCTTATTTACATGGTCTGGACTAGGCAATTTAAGAGAACTAAGATCCACATCTTGGAGCATCAAGGGTTAACTTTTTGCCTTGAGTGGTGTTTTCCATTAAAAAGAAGTAAGTAACAAAACTAAGTGGTTTGAAATTTCCATATTAGATAGATTATCTTTCCTACTTCAGTGCCCTGAGCACTGCCACCTTAATGATATGAGGGTGCTAGTGAAGTCATTCAGAGTTTAGTTCTTGATAAAATGATGTTTCCCATCAAAAAGAAAGAAGTGATTAAAGTCTGAAGTACTTTGAGCATCACAACATAGCTGGATTAGTTACGTCACTTGAGGGCATGCTACACTTTCAATGTAAGATGCCATACAAACCAGGCACGAAGATGTTCTATATTATCTGTGTAATATCTTTGTAGCTGGTTTACCATTTTATGAAGCCATCACTTTGCTGAACATGTGGCATGCTGCCATTTATATGATTAATCCTTAAGTAATCACTTCAACTGCACCATAAATGCAATGTCTACCAGAGACCATGGGGTTATGAATTGCTCTCCCATTTAAGTTGGAATTTGTTAGTGAAGTACAATGAAGATATTTCAATTAAAATAGGCTGCTGAAGATGAATAAAATGCTTGAGGTAGGTGAAATATTTTGGCATTTTGAAATGAGCTTAATTTGTTTACTTACTGTATTTACCCAAATCCAAAGCGAACCTGAATTTAACACAACCCCCCAATGATTAGATTCTATACCTGGAAAACGTATAAATTTGTTATGGCTTTCCATGCATAGAATTTAATTATTGGAGAGTTGTCTTAAATTTGTTGTGCCCCCTCCACCAAGGGGACAGGCTGTGGCAGGGGCTGTAAGGGAGCAGGCGGTGGGAGGGTAGGTGGTAGGAAAAGTAGTGTGGGGGCAGGTGGTAGGTGGGGCAGGGGGTGTGGAGGCAGTGGGGGTTAGGCAGCTTCCCCTCTACTGCTTGCCCCCCCCCCC